GCGGCGGGAGGACCACTTGGAGGATTTCACCCCAAGAGCTACCTGAAGGGATGTGGAGAGGCAGAAGCTGACACTGCACAAACTCAGAAACGCTTGTCATCTGTATCCCTTCAGACCTGAAGGGACGCGGAGAGGCAGAAGCCGACACTGCACAAACTCAGAAACGCTTGTCATCTGTATCCCTTCAGAAGCTTTGGAGGAAACGGATCTCAGGATTTGAGTAAAGGTAAAGGTAAAGGTTCCTCTTGACAATTTTTGTCCAGTTGTGTTCGACTCTAGGGGACGGTGCTCATCCCCGTTTCCAAGCCACAGAGCCAGCGTTTTGTCCAAAGACAATCTTCCGTGGTCACATGGCCAGTGCGACTTAGACACGGAACGCTGTTACCTTCCCACCGAGGTGGTCCCTATTTATCTACTTACATTTGCATGCTTTCGAACCGCTAGGTTGGCGGGAGCTGGGACAAGCGACAGGAGCTCACTCCGTCGCGTGGATTCGATCTTACAACTGCCTGGTCTTCTGACCCTGCAGCACAGGCTTCTGCGGTTCAGCCCGCAGCGCCACCACGTCCCTCAGGATTTTAGTACCCCTCCGTAAAATTAAGGCAACAGTTCTGTAAAACTTTGCAGCCAGATTGCTACTGGTGTTAGGGTAAGAATTTGCTAATTCTTGGCGCGGCTAACTGTTGTGAACCGACAAGGCGCCGGGCTGCCCCAGTTGCGCAACCAGCTTTGCGAACAGGCCCACGACCGAGGCCTGCTTGTTTTCTTGCTTGTTTTATCTCTAGGCCTTCTTTCTCCCGGGTTGCACCCCCAGCGCCTTGTCAATAAGCTGCCAGTAGCCGCAGCACGTTATGCCAACTGTACATGAACACCACTAGGATTCTGGGGCCAGATTTAGTGACCACATGCTTACCCCAAAGAATGTAAAGGGGATTTGCAGTGGTCAGGAAGGCTCCATTACCTTCAGCATCTGGAGTGGATAATGTGTGCCCAGACAGAGATACCTGTCCTATTATTACCAGTGATCACCCACTCCATTTCACCTCGGGCAGCAAAATGTCTTGGGCCTTCAGACATTATGAGAGTGCCATGGAAACTGACAAGTTTGCTTCTCGAGTAATGTATAAAGCAGGTGTCCTTTGAAATGTTACTGTGAAAGTGTGTGTGTGTTTGAGAGACAGATGTATGATCAAAGTCACATCTAATTCATGGTAACCCTAATAGGGAGCAGTTGGGAAAGTGTGTGCGTGTGTTTGAGAGAGAGAGAGAGAGAGAGAGAGATGTATGATCAAAGTCACATCTAATTCATGGTAACCCTAATAGGGAGCAGGGTGGATCAAAATGAGGAGTTTTTTTAAAAATCAAAGTGATTTAAGTCACGATTTTAAAAAATCAATGGTATTATTTAAATTTTAAATAATACCATCGATTTTTTTTTAAAAAAATTAAATCATCATAAAAATATATTTTTTAAAGAATTTAAGTCAAATCCACCCTAATAGTGAGATATTTTGAGGAGTCCTTTTCCCGTTCCTACCCGTGAAGTGAGTTTCCATGGATGAGAAGTGATTTGAATTCAGGTCTCCAGTGGTTTGTGATCAGAAGAAAACAAAACAAATAAAGCAAGAACAGGTGACACCTTTATTAGACCACTTTTTAAAAAAACTGCTAGCTTTCAACCTATGTTAGTCATCAGCCGTGTACCCATACATGGTGGACTGTGCAGGGGGAAAATATGAGATTTAGGGTGTCATTGTATCCACTGCACCACAGCTTTTTCTAAGCCTATTTTCCTCTCTTTCTGTTACTCGCAGACTATGCTGACAAAGCATATCATTACCCCCAAAGACATCAAGCGGGCTCGCCTGCAGGCTCGGCCTCTCCCGAAGCAATCCATCATTGACTTCCTGATTGAGAACGCAGCCAAGCTTATCTTGTACAAGTACAATTATGAAACCCTTCTCTCCGAGAAGCTGGGGTTCATATCGGTCCCTGTGACGAAGGTACTCCTGGAGATCATGTTTGGCTACAAGAAGGTCCGAGGCAGCGGGATACGGCTGTCCTCCCAAATCGACTGGTCGAAAGTCTACGACGAGATCTATGCGGTTCGTCCGCGGAAACCCAAGCCCCCGAAACTCAAAGCAGGGGACAAGAAGAAAGCCAAGGATAAGAAACAGAAAGCCAAAGGCATGATGAGGAAATCGGAGGAGAAGAAAAGTGCTTTTCTGAAACCCAAAGGCAAAGTTGTGGTGATCAAGGCGCCCGTTGACCAAGACGTTGAGTCCAGCAGGACCGGAGGGGTGTCCACAGCCGAGGTAAACGACAGCCAACTGCCCGAGATCTTTGAGATAGTTCCTCCACAGTTTCCAGAAGAAGGGGAAACGGATGAAATGTCTATCGAAGAAGAAGGCGAGGTCTCTCCGACCCAACCGTCCCAGGCCACTGTCAAGGAGTCTCTGACCTCCACTGTCCTTAATAGCCCTCAGAGATCCGTTGTGTCTGAAGGGAGCCCGTCCACAGTCCCTGGTGCGCCTGTGGAGACGGAAGCCTCCTCACCCATCTTGTCCCTCAAAAAGTCACTGTCTTCTCGGAGAGCAAGTGCCCCCAACGACAGCAACCGAGGGTCTCGGACTTTTCTGCCAGAGGTGGAACCCGCAGGCCAGCCCTCTGAAGACCTTTCGAGGAAATCCTCATTGTCTCGCCGGATTAGCTTGGGTGGGAACGGGAGCAAGACTGTGTTCCCCAAAATCTCCAATTAAACAGATACAATTAACAATTAAATATATATATAGATAGATTTGGATACTAGTACCGTTTGTGGCTTATCTAAAGGCTCTTTAGATACAAGGAAAAAGCCAGTAGTGGTCTGGCACCAACCGAGTTCTTGTCTGAGTTCTGAGTGGTGGCTTTGTTGAGAATTTTAGAAGTTTTGTAGGAAGCATGATGAAAACTCTACTGGAAGTCCTTGGGGGGGGGGATGTGACCTCCCAGAAAGGCAAACAGATGCCAGCTAAAGCTCCATTATGATTGATTGGCTACGCCCGAAGCTGGCAGCCCAAGACATCTGTTTTGCCCCATTGCAGGGAGAAACAGCGTGAGCCATTGTTATTCCTAACAGGAAGGCGCAGCCTTTTCTCGTGAGACACAAATGCATTGTGTGAAGTGTCAGATGGTACTAGATGGCTTCCTTTCTCTCCTCTTTTCTTGTTCTGTTCGGTTGATGCCTGGTTCATTGACAGTCTTTTCACTTAGGAAACCCGATTGCACTTAACTGGGGAGTAGGAAAAGCTAGCCTGCCCTATACGGACCCTAGCAGACTTACCACTGATTACATCACCCTCTCGCTGCCTTTGGAAAACACACTCTGAACATGCTCAGAGGAACTTATCTGCATGGGCTTGAACATTTAAAAAAATGCTTTATTGCCTTTGGTCTATTGGGGGGGTGCAAAACAATAAGAATATACTGTGATCTGCATATTTTGGAGGTCACTCATCCCTAAATTAGCTATAAATTGGAGGCAATTTAATGGTACACCACAACAGCAACAACGAATCTTGATCATTTTTAGGAAGTTAGGGCCAGATAAGTGTGTAGAGGTCTGTATTCTTTTTTTTAAATTAACTATAAGACCTTTTAGTTAGTTGATTTAAACACCTTTCACTAATGTTTATGAACTAGCGATTTTATTCCACACACTGATTTTTAGATCTGTTGGCCCTTTAAAAGAAAAAGGAGACAAGATGCCCTGTATTCAGGATTGCCTGATGTGAATGGTTTTAAATTGTCATTATTGCAAGGAGAAGACTTTTTGCAAGCAAAGGGGAGAAAAAGCTTTTCTTACAAAGGAGTCTTTCCCCCCAAGAACAACAGAGTTCTATGGCATCCTAGAAACGAATAAATCATTATTTCAGCTTTAGGAAATCTCAGCCTTTGGGAACGATTAACATAAGCCATGCTGACCCAGGACATCTGGAAGCTGTAGTTCAAAGACCGTTTCCAGGGTTGCTATAAATGGGCTCACTTTTAAGGCTGCACGAGCAATTCACTGGCAAATTTCAACTCGCGAGGCTGAATTAACACGCAGGTGGGTCTCGAACCGGCGAAATCTCAAACCTACGCTCACCTTTCCCGCTTTTGCCCCGCCCCTTCCTCCGTCCAAAACTCCTCCCTCTCCCCCGCCCCTTACTTTTGGCCCGCCCCACCCCTTTTCTCAGGGAGGGCGCAAATTGGAGGCAATTTAATGGTACGCCACAACAGCAACAACAAATCTTGATCATTTTTAGGAAGTTAGGGCCAGATACGTGTGTAGAGGTCTGTATTTTTTTTTTACAATAACTATAAGAGCTTTTAGTTAGGTGATTTAAACACCTTTCACTAACATTTGTGAACTAGCGATTTTATTCCACACACTGATTTTTAGATCTGTTGGCCCTTTAAAAGAAAAAGGAGACAAGATGCCCTGTATTCAGGATTGCCTGATGTGAATGGTTTTAAATTGTCATTATTGCAAGGAGAAGACTTTTTGCAAGCAAAGGGGAGAAAAAGCTTTTCTTACAAAGGAGTCTTTCCCCCCAAGAACAACAGAGTTCTATGGCATCCTAGAAACGAATAAATCATTATTTCAGCTTTAGGAAATCTCAGCCTTTGGGAACGATTATTTTGGGGATGACAACTCCCAGCCAGCCTCGACATAAGTCATGCTGACCCAGAACATCGGGAAGCTGCAGTCCAAAGACCATTTCCAGGTGTTGCTATAAATGGGCTCACTTTTAAGGTTTGCACAGGCAAATTTCAACTCGCGAGGCTGAATAACACGCAGATGGGTCTCGAACCGGCGAAATCTTAAGCCTCCGTTCTCCTTTCCCGCTTTTGCCCCGCCCCTTCCTCCGTCCAAGACTCCTCCCTCTCTCCCGCCCCTTACTTTTGTCCCGCTCCACCCCTTTTCTCAGGGAGGGCGCGTCACGCCACGCCGCGGCACCCGATTGGCCTATCGGCCCTGAACAGCGAGCCAATGAGCTTCTCCGTCGTTGCCCGGCCGGCGGGCGCGGAGCGCGTGGGCGGCGCTGGCAGCCGCTGATTGGCTCGCTCCGGGCGCCGGTGGCGGAAACGCTTTTTGTGAGGAGAAAGTTACTCGCCGCCGCCGCCTCTGCCGCCACCGTCGCGGCGAGTGGCTGAGGGGAAGCGGCGCGATGGGGCGGTCCGGCGCTTTCGTGCTCCGGCCTTTCCCTCGCCGGTGGTCTTCGCTGTCGCTTCTGCCTCTGCTTCTCCTGTGCGGTTCTCCTGTCCGCCCGAAAGACACGGAGGCGGGCGCTGTCACTTGCGGCTCGGTGCTGAAGCTGCTCAACACCCGGCACAACGTCCGGCTGCACTCGCATGAGGTCAAATACGGCTCCGGTGAGGAAGGACGGACGGAAGGCCTGGGACGAAGGAGGGAGAGGAGGAGCCGGTTGAGAGGAGGAAGAAAAGGAAAGGCTCATGTTTTCCCCCCTCAGTTCCTCCCCTCAAGAGGAACTGAGGGGAAAACGTGGAGCCGAGTGGGCTGAGGAGAAACTCGGCCCCGTCAAACGGAAGCCTCTCGAGAGCTCTGGCCCAGGGGAGGAAGTAGGGCAGAAATTTGAAGGGCAGTCAGGTCCCCTCTGAGGGAAGAGTTCAAAATGTGGCAAAAGCTGGCTAGCCTGGGTTTTTTTTTTTAATTTTGCGCTTTAAACGGATTAATTTTAAATGGCCGGGGAGCTTTTCTGCTTTTAAATCGCTTTATAGGGTTCTGTATAACCCACCCTGGGAGCCTGTCCTGCTGGGTGGGCTATAGGTGTTATGAATAAAAGAACGAATGGATGGATGGATGGATGGTGAGGTTGATCCAGATTGGCAAGCCACATCTTCAGGAAGAGTAGAACGGGTGTCAAGCTAATTTTCCCCTTCAGGACAAAGCCCTGCTAAAATAATAGGCGTTGAGTCAGGGATCGGTCACACAACCATATATTGGTTCTGTGAACATGCATCAGACCTGCCCCTTCTTCTGGGATTGCTCCTAAAATCAGGATGATGCCAAAGTCCTGTACTAATTAAACAGACCTGACAATCCAGGCTCTGGTTCCGTTACTACCCCCAATTTGCCAAGTTTTCAGGATTAGCGATTGGGGAGCATTCAGTTACATTTGTGTGAACTCTTCTCCGGTAACCTTCAGAGAGCAGCTTGAGTTGATGAAGGTGGGTCTATTCTTGCCTGTCGTGGGACTATTAGCTACTTGATCAGCCTTGCTTAAGTGGCTCATGGCCAAGGCTAGGTCCGTCTCAAGCTCTGGGATCCCACCATTGTCTCTGTTCATGCACTCTTTATTCCGAACAGGGATTAGGAGTAGGTGGTCCTCCAGACTGCAACATACCTTGCTTGGCATTGGCTAGATTAGATATGGATGATGAGATTGCAGGCCAGGATCTGGAGGATGACCCTTTTCCTCCCCATATTAGAATGTAGGATTATTCTAGATCTTCTCTCTTTGCAAGGCAGAAAGATTCATCCGCATCCACTGGTTTTAGCCTGATCTTGGTCTCCAGCAGGTACGCCGCTTATCAACATGAAGGTTTTAGCAGTCATGCATTTATAGTCCATCTTTTCCAAATAGTATAAGTACCTGCTGGATGATATCTGGGAATGTTGTGCGTAGCTATTGATCAGCACTGCAAGTACATCTAATCTTCTTTCCACACGTAAGAACTTTGCTAGATCAGATCTCAGAATCTCTTTAATCCAGCATTATGATTGCTATAATGGGAGGCCAGGTGTATAAAGCTAACACACCACCAGCAGGGGCACTAAACACCCTGGTTGTTGGCATCTCATATTTTGAGGTAGATTATTTACATTAAATATTTTTAAGTTTATATTTTCTTTTCCAGCACTGGCGTACAGCAGCACCTCTTTTATTTGTTTTGCAACCTGTGCAGTCAATGTTGTCTATTTTTGTTGGAACTGCTACATGAATAGATACAGTACATAGAGATCTTCCAGTGAGTGTTTTGAGTGTTCTCAAAAAAGAAAGAACACACATTTGTAACAGTTTCAAAACAAGCTCAGCTTATTGTTACTGTATTCATTTGTTTTACAAACAGGAAGCGGACAGCAGTCAGTGACTGGAGTAGAAGCTTCAGATGATGCTAATAGTTACTGGCGGATCAGAGGCAAAACTGATGGGTCTTGCCAGCGGGGAATGCCAGTAAAGTGTGGGCAGACATTACGCCTTACTCATGTTAATACAGGGAAAAACCTACATACCCACCACTTCCCATCACCACTCTCCAATAACCAGGTAAAATTGGTCACTTTTTCACACTTTGTATTCTAGTTATTTCAGATCTAGCAATTGTAAATTTAGTTATTTGTTTGAGCAATTTGTATACTGCTCCATTAGTGCAAAGCACTATTCTGGACAGTTTACAGCATAACACTGTTACACTGAATTAGAGTATGCTTTCCCATCCTGATGCTTTTCAGATGTGCTGAAGAACATCTTCCAAATCTCCCAGCCAATTTGGCCATTGGTCAGAGTAGTCGCAGATTATGGGAGCTGTAGTTTAGCACATCTATATGGCTGTAATCCCTCTCCCTGGAGGCTTGGTCTACTGCCTTCTTTTGATAGACCAAGCAAATCTTTGAAGTGTAGTTAAATATACTTTCACTGTGGGTGGCTGGAAAAGGGTCATGTCCTCTAAATTTGCCATCCCGCTTTCCTTCTCCTAGTTGTGGCCCTCAACATTCCTAAGAATGTGCCTATAGTAGCCTGCCTTTGTCTACATGGTACAGACATTGGTTTTTCGATGTAGAAGAGAAGCCAGCTTTGACCAGCATTTTAGTTTGTAAACCATTTACATTTCAGTTGTTGTTTGCATTAGCTGTTAATAACACCTTATTATAGGTAGATGTCTTGAACTTAACTAAGTTGTTGGTACAGAAACTTAGCTAAGGTCGTTAGTAGTTCCAAGATACTCTTTTCACTCACAGACTCAAGTCAATTTTTGTAAGGTGGTATCAGACATTTGGTAATAAATTAGGTAATTGGTGTAACTCTTGAATACATCTTAATCATATTTCACCTAACATTAGCATTCACCTGGATTGATGTCTCTCTGTGTATGTGTGTGTGTGTACATATCATGAAATCAGTCTCTTCTTCTTTCTCCTTTCTGTAACAGGAAATAAGTGCCTTTGGCGATGATGGAGAAGGAGATGACTTAGATGTATGGACAGTGCAGTGCAGCGGGATGTACTGGGAACGAGATGATGCAGTACGCTTCAAGCACATAGGAACAGACGTGTTCCTTTCAATAACCGGTGAACAGTATGGTCACCCAATCAGGGGACAACGAGAAGTCCATGGCATGCATACTCCTAACCATCACAACTACTGGAAGGCAATGGAAGGCATTTTCATTAAACCCAGCGTGGACTCTACAAAGCATGATGAGCTCTAAACGTGTGACGGAATTATCATGTAAAATCTCTCTTCCGAAATATATGAGCTGGTCCTCTTCTGTAAATATCAAACACCTTAAAAGTATCTAGATAAATTGGAAGACTAATTTGTTGTCATTGGCTGCATACCAGGTGAATTCAGACTGACAGGAATGGCTGAAGTTACATTGTTTGGCATCCGTCCGTTTTCAGAATCCATGGTCTTTTCTTATCTCAGACATTCTTTCTCCTTTCCATAAACAAAGTGAAAATGGTGAATTGCAGTGTAAACAATTTAATCCAAAGTGCAATAAAACTTACTTTTTTATAATTCTTTCTGAAGATTTGAGTAAATGTGTGGAAAATATTGGCTTTGAAACCTTATTTTTTGAACAGTCATAGTGGGATGTATGCCCTGTAGCATAAGTCTAGAAAATCTTGGGCTTTGTAGCCAAAACTATTTTTATTCTTAAAAGATTTGCAGTGTAGTTCTAGTTCTTAACTTTAAATGTCTGTTGCCTCTACTCATTTGCTGTTACAATGTGGTTTAATTATTTTTGGAATAAAGCCAGTTTAAAAAAGTAATATTTCAGCGAGGGAGAGATTTGCTACATTTTAAGAGAAATTGAAGGGAAAAGGTCACATACTGATCATTGTACACATCTTAATATAGCTCAGGGCTGCTTTTCTTATCAGTTTACCAACCAGACCGAATCCTGAATGGTGCCCATAATGCGAATAGATAAATTGTTGTGTTAAGGTTGGTCTTGATGTTGTTTCATGCTGTGGTATAACTAAAAAATCAAACCAGATTTAATGCACAAGTGTGCTGGCCCTTTTTAAATAGGTGAGCTGAATCACTTGGCTGGTACTTTCTCAAGCACCACGGGGACACTTGACCCAAGGTTATCCCACTGGCGAAAATGGCTGTGTTTGGCTTTCATGGATTAAGAGAAGTTGTGGTTACACAATACAGTTAAGAGTCTGGATACCTGCTGGGAGAAAGATCCTTTTGGATAGCAACATAGGAAGTTGCTTCACATAGCCTCATACGGTCAACTCTTGAGGGCCGCTACCCAGAGTTTCAGGCAGGATTAATTCCTAGACCTTACCTGGAGATCTCAGATATTGCCTGGTGGTCTCATATTTGAATGCTAACCAGTCCCGTTTACTTTTCATAATAACATGAAATCAATGTGTTAAAAATGCCATGGTGGTAGGGCAGCCAGAAGTTGGGAGGCCCGGTTGGTGATCAGCAAACTACTTCCAAATGTGCTCTGGATGATTATGAGAAAATATGGACAGATTGCTGAATAAAACAGAAATACAGAGTTTAAAACCAGCATCTATGAGGTTGGGAATGCTGGCCAAAATCATGCCGCTCAGTTATTGCCTGCAGAAGGCAAACAGCAAAACTTGCAGGAGCTCAAAGTACAGCTCCAACCAACTGTAAGGTGAGAATGGGTTCCATTCCAAAGAGGCTTCCCCTTCCCCCCCCCCATACTTACATTTTGATTTATTTTTCCCCCAAAGCACTAAATTGTAAGCAATGTCAGGAAATTTTACTTTGTCCATTACAAATACAAGGTTCTAGTGTGATCTGCAGCTAGGGACTGTGGAATAATGAAAGCCCCACAAGAAGAGCATTAATGAGCTTCACCTCGTTGGACTATTGCATAATAATGAAATTTATGAGGTTTGAGTTACATCCAGACTCAAGATAGTAATGTTTTATTTCTGTGGAAATCAATGAAATAAATTAACCATGAGTACCTTAATTCTTTGATTTTAGTGAGGTTAAAGCATGATTAAATTTATTTGGATTCAGCCGTACAACTACATTATCCTCTAAAACCTTTTAACTATTTTGTTTGCTTGCTTTATTTTGAGATGGGCTTTAATTTCTGTTTTCCTGCTTTGAACGTGTCAAACTGGATGGATTTCATCCACAGTTCTCAGTTGTGGATCAAGTACAGTATGTTGCTTCTTGTTTTGGCAGAGGACATAGTACATTGTAGTGGGTCAGGCTGCAAATGGAAAGAAAGTAACAAGACCTCTGATTTAAAGTGTTTTTCTTTAAAGACACACTAATCAGCAAGATGGAGTATGGGAGTGAAAGTCCAGAATATCTGGATGGTACAAGACTGGACAAAGATGGCTGCCACGTTACTTTCCATGGCACTTTTGGCAGCTAACCACTCTTTGACTAGAGCTGTCACCGTTACCAGGAGAGGCTTTGCCCAATTCTAAACATCACTGTTGGGGGGAGTCCTCCACTCTTTGAATTTTCCATTCCCAGCCATCTATAGATCCCCAAACATCAGGAGTTTTTACAAATACAGAAGCTCCCTGGCCTCCAGTGATGATGATGATGTCAAGTGTCCGTCAGGTATAAAGCTTTATGGGAGACTTGGACTTAACGCGCTCTCTTAAAATGTTCAACTATTTTGTACTGCCCTAAACTATTAAGAAAGAATGCCAGATTGGTTTCTCCACTGTTCATTATTTGTAATTAGACAGCCTCTGAGAAACTGACACAACTCGAGACTTCCACATCTGTAGGAGCTCTGCTAATCTCTTGTATCATAGAAAGAAAACAGTTCTGACAAGTGAGCGTGCTTCCCTTGGGCTACCTCTGAGATCCTTAAAAAAAACATTTGGACACCATAACTGTAAATTTATCAGCAATATGGGAAACTTACATTCTGGTTATGACACAGATTAAAGAGATCCCAAACATTCTTGCAGGGAGGTTGACAACAGGGACTTGCTATTGTTTGTCCCATCACTAGCTTTATAGCACTATTTTGGTCTGCAATTTTATAATCATCTTGCATCTTCAGAACCCTAACCTATAAAGCCTATAAACCTCCAATAGTCCAGCTGAAGGTTTACCAATGCCATCCTTCAAATGCATCTTCAGAACCCTAACCAATAAAGCCAACAGTCTAGCTGAAGGTTTACCAATGCCATCCTTCAATGAGTTTTCATGTTTAAGTGGAGGTTTGAAGCCATCTCTCCTGAGTCCTAGTACAAACATCTGTCCACACTGGCTTTTTGGAATTACACTGCTTCTGGAAAGCTTGCATAATAATAATTGCAAGCCATCAAGTCGATTTTGACTTATTGGGCCCCTTTTCAGGGTTTTCTAGGTAGAGAATTTGGGACCCTTTTTCTAGGTAGAGAATAGACAGAAGAGGTTTACCATTCCCTTCTTTCAGCGTATTCTGAGCCTGTGCAGGTTACCCAGGCTGGCTTTTTTCCCCACCGTATGGAATCGAACTCCGAACTCTGGCTCTGTAGCCAGATACCTAAACCACAGAGCAATCCAGCCAGCTACTTACATTATGCATAATTAGAAAACAATCATCTGATTTATGGCTGAGCCAAGTTTGGGCAAGTGGAACCTATCGGAGTCATTCTGTGCTGTTTCTCCTCTGGCCTCCAGTTGGCACTGCTCTATTTCCTTTCTTCCTCACTCGCACCGTGCTTCGACGAGAATTTTCTGCCTCGGTGAACCATGAAAAGCTCGCTTGTGTTATTATGTGCAGGGCATTCATTCATGGGAATGTTGCAAATTTGGCAACATCCCTCCACATTTCAGCAGCACTTGCTTTGGATGTCTGCAAATTTATACCCGGGCAAGGTGGGAGAGGGGCATTGGGAAGAGCCTCGCGGCAGCGTCCGTTTCCGTCGCCTCGGCATCTGCCAAAGGGATCAAGACTCCTGGAATACATCTGGCAGCCTTCCTCTCTCGTCGCCTTGCGCATGCCAAAAGCCGTGGCCAAACGCAGCTGTTCAAAAGTGAAATTCAAAATGTTGGGAGCCTGCCTTTCAAATCAGGCATCAGGCCTCTCTGATTTCCGCCTTTCCCTAGAAGCCGGCCCAACCAAAACAAGAAGCCAGTGGCCAACACCCGGAGCAGTCTGGTTTGCTGAAAAGTCATTTCATTTGATTGCTTTGCGAGGGCAGATACATGCGATGCGCGAGGCTGTAATCTACTGTATGTTCCCTTAGATGGCAGGCCCATGGTATTAAATGATGCTTGTGAGTAAATAAATATACAGTATACAGGAATGGGCTGCCAAAGATTTCATTTGGTCAGATCCCTCTTTTCAAAAGTGGTTGGTGCTCTTGGCGCTCCCAACGTATAGCAAACCTAAGAAGGTTTTCAAGCTATTTCAGGTGATCAAGAATGACCCCAGGCTCCTTGAGTCCTAGCCCAATAGCGTGCAATTTAAAAAACAGCAGGGCATTTCTAGAATCAGTACAATACTTCCGTTATAAGGCAATCAGCAACATTACGTGGCAACAATCATATCACAATTAATTGACTCAAGCTTGCAATAATTCCTAAAAAGATTGAGAGTCTCCAAAAAAAATAAGGTTTGTGTGTGATACGTGTGTAACAGGTGTAGCAAGGATGTTGAAATGCATCACTTAAAAAGCTAAAGAGAGTAGCTTTTGAATCTGAATATGCTATCTCACCTGGATTGTACATAGAGATATAGAGAAAAGTTCATCAACTTGCTTAAAGTTAAAAATTAAAGAAGTAAACTTCAGAGATTGCTTTGCCAAGGGGAGTTTTTAATACTGTCCTTTGGGAGGAAGGAGGAGGAGAATTTATTGGAATATAGTTTTTAAAGCTCATTAAGAACCTTAGCATTTTAGCATCTTAATTGTTTCCTGCTTTTTTTGTTTTGTTTTTTAATCCCTGCAAGTCTTGTAGGGAGATTCTCATCAAGACTTACAGGGACCTGATACCCAGAAAGGCTGAATCATTTCTCATATCTTTCCTATTCACTAGCCGTTGATACATCTTTAACTCCTTTTCCAGCTACTCCTTTGACTACTGATAAGGCGCCCTGTGTGTCTGAAGTAATTAACTGTTTTAAACAACTTGGTGTGTGGGAGGAGAGACATTCAAGAAGTTATTCTACAAGTTTGTTCTGAAGTTCGTGCTGATGTGAAGTGTTTTGGAGGTCTCGTGATATATTGTACTGGTTCACTGGGATGTATCTACAGTTTCAACCCATTCCAGTGCTATTTTTTTTAGGCCTAGGCGTGGGGGGAGGGAGTTATTTGACAACAGCAAGCAGTTACTTCACAAATATTAACAGTTCTTCTGTGATTTGACAGTCTATCATTTTCTTCTCACAGTTGTTGTCGTTGTTTCAACTTATATATTGCTCTATAGTTCTTGGAACACTCTCTGTGTGGTTTACAACTCTAGCCGCCTAGAGTGGTCCGAGTTGACTAGATAGGCGGGATATTAAATAAATAAATAAATAAAAATAAATAAATAAATAAATAAATAAATAAACAAACAAACAAAC